GCCGGCAATAAACTTTTCTGAGGGAAACGATGCGAATGGTGATCTTATACGTCTCTGATATATTTTTCTAGTTTATGCTTCTAATCGCTTAGTGTCAACCCAATTACCGGATAAAATACAGAGCACCGTGTCACTATAACTTACCGTTCTTTCACAAAGTGCTAACAACTGCTGCATTATGGTCACTAATGAAGCAATATTATATTGACTTTACAATGATATGGGACTCTACAGAAGATCGGAAGCGTTCGGATAGATATAGGCCTAAAACATGACTTTAAATGTTTGTTTTGAATAGTCATACCCACACTGGTTTACATTCGGGGATTCTTCTTTTAGTAACACCCATCAGTCTAAGTCGTTACAAGTCACCTAAACATCAGAAATATTTCATCTTTCAATGGCTATTCTTGATGGAAAAAATTTCGAATTTACCCGGTCCTCGTAAAGGAGATTTATTTGTGTTCGGTCGATTGATTACAAATGAAATTTGCCTCGGGCACAAACAACATTAGATAGGAGTATTGTTTAGTGAATTTTGAGCAAACAGTGCATGTATTGCTCGCTCTGGCATTTGTGCCCACATCGGTATCCATCCGTTTCGATAGCTCCCTTCTCTCTGACAGAGCCGCACTTAATTGACCCACTTTTGTTTTTAGCCTGGTGTACAAAACGCGCACGTGGATATGTATCAACTGAAAGTCAGAGTGTTTAAGTCTTTGTTCTATTTAATCACCATGGGATGTAACGATTGTGGATAAACCGTCATCGACCCGCTCTGTCCTTCAAGCTAGAACATGTGCTCAGCGACATGAATTGCCTCATATTTCGTCATTCTTAAGGTGTGAATACTCTCTTGTACTCTGTTGTCTTGCGCTTGAAGGCAGAGTGCATTCTTGTGTTGACCAGTTAGCTAGTCCTGTGAACCAAAGTCCATCATCAGCGGAAACGTGAACCACTAGTGCAAGCCCCAAACAGAAGAACCGTGACATGCTGAGGAAAATTGGTGATGGGACGATGAAACTGCTTATCTTTCATTCAAAAATATAATCTTAATCCTTGCAGTACTCATAAATTTACTTCCGGAAGTGTTTAAAATTGGTTTACTGTGAAGGAAGTTTTTGAACCATCGTTCGGTGAGAAGAGGTTTTTCTATCCAGTGATATAATCATGATCAGGACCAACTGGCACACAAATCCCGATCATTCCTATACAACATTGATATCCACAATCTCATTATCAGATATTTTTGAGAATAGGCTAGTTGAAGAAGCTCTGTTCCTGGATGGGTGTACATTGGAACTAGGTAAAGGATCGAATCGCATCAGACAAGATGTGTATAACTGCAATATTCACAATAACAGTGGATTACAAATCTTATATGGAAGCCATGGCAACGGTGTGAAGCTGCAGATTTTTAAAGAGAGTGGGGTCTAGGTACCCGACGCCAATTTGTGTAACTTCGCGAGAGTCACACAGTTTATCATGGCCAGTTTGCCTACGAAACACTTGGAAACAACACTTCCAGCTCGAAGAACCACTGATTTGACACCGGCATAGCTGGATAGGACTGTTGATACTTGTCAGTGCTACGTAAAGCACTGTAGTTCTAAGTGTCGAAAACCCGTTTATCACACTCGTACATGTGCTAAGGAAAAATCAGACAAATGAAGCGCATATTTTTTAGAAATGTTCTATCCACCGAAACAACATAGAACAATGGTCTGCGTAGAGATATGGGTGGTGAAACACACCTACGGGGATAGTTTGGGAAATCCTGGTCCTATTGCAGATTATTTCTTTCCCTAAAAATGTATTCGTTGATTAAACTAAAATAGGAATCACACAGCTTCATCCTTACTGAGCGTTTAGAGAATTCCAGTATGCAAGGAATCCAACCAAACAATGAGATCTATGGGATACTTCGACGCGGTTGCATCGTTTGAATACGAATGAATTTTCTCAAAAGATACGTCTGGAATTCACACTGTCAATTATCGAATTTCATTGAATTAGGAAAGATCGAAACGAACAGAGCAAAACAAATAATTTAAAACGTACTAATATATGTGGAAACTGAGTTGTCCCTCACAAATAGAGGTTATTTCGAATAAACTGTTATTGTTGACTATCATCCCCGCACTCCTACGCTCATTCAGATCGGATGCAAGCATTTTATCTTATCCCAAATCTGGACTGAGTATGTTACCATGACTACTAAGTTCCATCAATCAACACTAGTGGAATAATCAGATTTGATACTGTTCTGATTTGTAAACTGTACCATTGTACGAAACTGCTCTGGTTTTCCTGAGCTAAATCGGTGATAAAAGCTAATCGTGACGGGAACAGAATGTGAGTCGCAGTAACACACCGAGTTATCCACAAAACGCATCTGCGAATCGGTTTTCTTTTAGGAGAGAACAATTGACTGGTATTCAAAGTACCATTTAACTGTTTACCCATTTCTCCTCTTTCCTCCCCCCTCAATGATTTCATCTATCCCGTTACCATAATGATAAACAACAAGAACTACTTCTAATTGCGATAGAATTGCTTCTCATGACCTACAAAGAGCACTGAACATTTGTCTCGTCCTGTTTGAAACTCTTCCGCAGTGCTAGAAGTAAGTAAGTACTGTGTCCTGTCAGGACCCGAACCGCGAACCTTCGGGTCTGTTCGATCACCCCAATGATTCTCATCGTATTTCAATGTAATTACCTGGTGGTGAATTAACGATTTTCAGGGGAGTGAAACCCACATCCAATATAATGAATAGTGCTTGGTGCCAGTGGAAATCTGAATGATCTAATCTAAATATTCACCCGCTAAGCTACTACTTATAATAAGTTGTTGCAGTTTTTGTATGCTTTTGGTTGCCGACTACGTGATCTCATTTTGGTCAACATAATTGGTTTTCTGTTCAATGATACCCAATTCCAATCATTGCGTTTCATCAGGCTTTGAGTATCCACTATGGCATCTTTTTAAAGAAAGGCCTTTTACTTTTCTAAATTTTCATTTTATATTCACACAGACTTGATCAGTCAGAGCAATTTAGCTCCGTAGCACGACACGTTCACCACCCATGAGGGATGAATACAATCGGTTTCTCATAATGTACTTTCCTTGGGCATAGAAATGTTCACTGTTCCGAGTACAGAATTTAAAAATGAAATTAGGAATTCGAAACACGAGGAGATACCATTACAGTAGTATCAGTTCAATCAATCCATAGCACCCGGTGCATGAAAGTGAGAAGTCTGACAACTCCCTCAAGTATTGACACAGCGAATTTCGATCGAAAAAGAGGACAACTGAACAGGTGACTCTGATTTCAAAAGCTGTCTTAATTGAGTCTTCGCAGACGGCATTGACTTGGTCTTATACATTCAACTATTCTATCCGTAGGCTGGTCAGTGAGTGAAACAGACTGTGGATGCCACCAATGTTCTTTCTCAATGTCATTCCCAATGGCGGTGACACGCGTTCATTTACCTTAGCATACAGGTACACGCACAGCAAAGAGAATCATTCATTATTAAAACACGTGGAAACCGAGTTGCTGGGTGGCCGTCACTTGAACTTCACCTGTTTGACATGGGAAAACTGAGAAGTGATAAAAGGATCACTGGGAGAAGGGACCCTGTTCATGCACACCCCAAATTCAGTCGGGAGTCTAATCAAAGTAGCTGATTGCCTGCTCATCGACATTGTCGGTATTTATATTACATACTGCATCTTGTATTTGGGTAACTGATGTTGTGGAATAAAGATCCACCATAGATTATATATCTAAATAGTGCAATGAACTCACGTTGCTACACTAAGCACGAATGAATAGATCTTATGATGTAAATCAGCAGTTTATTTATCCCGCATGCCAATTATGGTTATAATGGCCTTCCATTATATCGGGCGAATTTCGCACAGGTGCCTCCTGTAACACGCACATCTTGGTAAACAAAGCCGGCAATTGTACACTGATAACTACATGCGGGATTTTTCAACCGAACACCACATCATCATTATCTGTTGTTTCCCTAAGCGACACGCCTCTGGGTCAAAATAAATCTATGAACCAATGAGTAATCTTCCGGGGAGCATCCAAAGTCCGAGTGCATTCCATGGGTGTGTTTGACATTGTTAATCATTGTTTTAGTGAAATGCCGATGAACCAAAGTTCAATGGCGCACTTGTCACATCAAGTAAAACATGCAACTTCAAAGTCAGATTTCATATCCATTGGGCGAGATTCGTCATTTTCTTTATTCGTTACGTATTCATTTGCTCAGAATAGTTCATGTTTCTCACGGTAACCTGTCAGCTGACTTGAGTCAAACCAATCTGCTCATCAAGCAGTACGAGTCAGAAATTTTGTATTGCTCAGCAGAAACTAAAGAATTCATATAAAATTAGAAAGCACTGGACCGCTGTTTCGACCTGATTGGGTCTCATCAGCAGTGCGAATCCATCGACCCAACTGGGGATCGAACCCGGGACCTCATGGATAGCATGCTTGAGTTCTGCCCATGAGGTCCTGGGTTTGATTCTCAGTTTGGGCAATGGATTCATACTACTAGTGAAACTCAACCAAGCCGAAACAGCTGTCCAATGTTTCCTAGCTTTTAAGTTCACGCTTCATTTGCTATCTAGTTGACGAATTCACCTTTGAAATTGGACCAAATCCTCCATTACTAACTTGGAATTCGTATAAGTTAGACCGAACGTTTTGGTCGTTTAAGATGCTCTTCGAAAAGATTTTACTAGTAAAGAAGATACGACCTATATTAATTGTGGTCGGATGTATCTGTAGCATTGAAGCACACAAACAGCACATGATTTCTCTAAAAGCTTTATTATAATCCTTGTTGTCATTTGTGACTTCAACGACTTATGAAAATGGGTCGTCATAGCGAGGAGTGTGTTGGTGAAGTCACTTCGGCACCCGTAGCTTCTGCCTATAAACCCACCCACTCATTCCACATGGTTCCCGAATATCACTCACCTAATTCATTTCCGTCTGTTGTCATTCCATGCCCGTTCGAACGGGTACTTCGACAGTGTTTGGTAAGCACATACTGTTCCCGATCAATTCGATCACGTGAGACTATCTGAGTGCCGACCACCACAAACGTTTTGGCCTCATTTATGACAGTTATTTGCACGGGAGATTTGTTTGCCACCGAACCGGCGATCGGGTTCACAGGACGAGTGGGAAGGGAGAAGGGAACACCGATTTTGTCCCACAGTGTTTCCAGATCACAAACCACTGTTCCTATTGGACTCTCTTCAGTTACTGTACACACGCGTTCATCAAGAAGCAAATCCGCGTAGATCTGAGATATATTGGTGCATAATATCCAGTAGAACACCGTGAGTAATATGATTTTCTGTCGCATTATTGTCATAGAGGCACATTGGAACACCAGCATGTTGCCCCACAAAATGACTTATTTAAACGAATGGAATGTGTTTTGATATATGATGATGACCAACATCACTATAGTGGAACAAGGCTCAATCGATTTCGTGGCGACTGGAGTCTGAAAACGTAGCCATTGTGACCTGGCTCAATCAGAGTCAGAAACAAAGTGCTGACAAATGAATCCAGGACGAGATCGTTCCACGAGCGGGCAGGCTTCCGAAACACAGAATCACGAGATTAACAAGACGTGTTTTCCACTCCGTTTCTGCTCACATTCACATGTGCCCACTAGCACAGACGTAGCATGCCATTTGTAGATACGCAGCAGACGAGGAGCATTCAGTATATTTCCTTGGTCAAACTCTAATTGGGGAGATGGGATTTAGCATGAGGGAGTAAGACGGCATATCCTGATTGGCAGTTCACTTAAACAGACGATTGGATGTCATCGACTGGTCAATTCAAATCCCGCGCCAAATGCGTGCGTGCGTGTGTGCGCATTGCACGTGCGTGCACACTGTTGTTCTGGGATTCACAGTGAAAATCACATAAATACTGACATCCAGTTGCAGTTTTCTGTTGAATGAGATAACGAAGACTACAAATGTACGTACGTTGTGTGGGAAACAATGAGGGCAGTCTGTGGGGCTGCCTACCATCTATGTGCACAAATGCATTTTCACACTACATATCATCATTTCCATGTCGTTTCTTTCAAAAACGTGGTCATTTCGGTGACATTATTGACAGAAATCAACGGAATTCCGATCGGATTAGTCTGATTTTCATTTTTTTCAAACGAAAATCTATTTTGGTGAACGATTATTTCCAGGTGCTTTTAGGATTTTAGTACCGTGTAAATATTAAGAAATAGATCAACACTTGCCGCGGCTAGATCATAAATGTTTGAAAGGATATCTAATGGAATGAACCCAATTGCTCAAGGATTATGACGATATTATATCACAAGAATTCAACAACTTCTTATTCGGGCTAATATAGTTATATAGTCATATTACAATTAAAATGTTCGTCAGTGGCTATGTGCGATTCGTGGTTTGTGATTGCTTTTGGTGTGTGGTTGGGAAATGGTGAGATGAAAAGGTGCGACAGTAACAAGGTTGCGAAAATGATTAAGACGTGTTAGGGTTGTGGGGTCAATTGATGACACGTCTACATTCTTATCGTTTTCCCAATCTTGTTACGATCGCATCCTCTCATTACACCCTTTCCCAACCACACACCAAAAGCAATCACAAACCACGAATCACACATAGCCATTGAGGAACACTTTAATTGTAAATTGACTATATAACTGTATTAGCCCGAAGAAGAAGTTGTTGAAAACGAGCTTGTTCAGTAAAATCACTGTGTTTTCTATCCATGCGAAGATGGGAATTTTCCATAATCATAAGAAATCTCTATTCTGGTGTCTTGAAAATGTACACAAACAAAGCTGATTCAGTCCCGTTGAATACGCCCACCCCCTCCCCCCACAGGGATAGCAACAATGGAGGTATGACTGCCAGCCTGTTCTTCTGGTGAAAATTAGACATCAAA